TACGTGTCCATGGCCAGAATCAAACCCATGACTCTTTGGTCCATGTGCTGACACTCTAACCACTAAGCCAAACTGGCCAGGACTCTTCTTTTTCTTAAAGCAGACCCTTTAACATTTCTTGCAATGCTGGTTTGGTAGTAATGAACTCCTTTAACCTTTTTTTTCTTTGAAGCTCTTTATTTCACCTTTAATTTAAAATGATAGCCTTGCTGGATAGAGTAGTCTTGGATGCAGGTTCTTGCTTTTCATTACTTTGAATTTTTCATGCTAATCTCTTCTGGCTCGAAGTACTTCTGTTGAGAAATTCGCTGAGAACCTTGTGGGAACTCCTTTGTAGATAATGTCTTTCTCTTGCTGCCTTTAAGAGAATTCTCTCTTTATCTTTATCCTTTGCCATTTTAATTAGATGTGTCTTGGTGTGGATCTCTTTGAGTTTATCTTCATTGGGACTATGTGTGTTTTCTGAACATGTGTGACTTTTTTCTTCTCTAAGTTAGAAAAGTTTTTTGTCATTACTTTTTCAAACAGGGTTCTATTTCCCTTGCTTACTTTCTTCTCTTTATGGTACCCCTATGATGTGGATGTTGTCCCAAAGTTCCCTCTTATCCTTATTTTGATTAATTCTTTTCCCTTTGGCTGCTCTGATTGGGTGATTTTTCTTTTTATCTTGTCTTCAAAATTTGATCCTCTGCTTCATCCCACTTACTTTTTTTTGGGGGGGGGTGCCATTTGGGTGTCTTTTTGGGAAAGTGTTGATTAAGTTCTTTGCTCGATTTTTAATCCTCACCTGAGGAGGTGCTGAGAGAGAGGCAAGAGAGAAAGAGAAATATAATTGTGAGAGAGAAACAGATGATAGAGAAATATCGACTAGTTGCCTTTTATATGTGCCCTGACTGGGAATTGAACCCACAACCCAGTCATGTGCTTTGACCAAGGATTGAACTTGCAACTTTTCGGAGCACAGGATGATGTTCAGCCCTCTGAGCCATTCTGGCTAGTCCCATCTTGATGTCATTCTTAATTTCTGACTAGTTATTATTTGTGGTTTCTATGTTCTTTTTCATGCTGCTGTTCTCATTATATTTCTTGAGCATCCTTATGACCATTGTTTTAAACTCTATATGTGATAAATTGCTTGTCTCCATGTCATTTAGCTCTTTTTTTAGTGATTCCTCCTGTACTTTTAATTGGGGTTTCTTTGTCTCCCCATTTTGGCTGTCTCTTTGTGTTTGTTTCTGTGTATTAGATTGCTGTGTCTCCCAATCTTCTTGGTGTGGCCTTATGTAGTAGGTGTCCTGTGGGACTCAGTAGTGTAGTCTTCTTGATCTCCTGAATTGGATGCTCTAGTAATATCCCTTGTGTGGGTTATGTGGGCCCTCCTGTTGTAACTGGATCTTGATTTCTGTTGGCCCTTTCATGGGTGGGATCTACTTTTAGGCTGGCTGACAGTGAGATTGAACCCTGACCTGTACAGCATGCAAGCTGCTGTACAGGTGCAGTCTCTGGTGGTTTCTTCTACCAGTCCTTGGTTTTAAGTATACTCTTCAGATAGTCTTTAGTTGGTAATTCAAGGTGATCGTTTCCCTATTTAATTTCATTTTCACTTTGGTTGTGGGTGGATGTGCGAGCAAGATCCATCTACTCCTTTGCCATCTTGAAACCTCCTATGTTGTTTTCTACTTTTCTTTTTTTTTCACCTTAACATTATGTGGTTAGTGTTTTCTTAGGTTATTAAAGTTATTTGATAAGTAACACTTTAAGTAGTTGTATAAGCTGTTATTTTGATAATGCCACAATTATCAAATTTCTTTTTAGATATAGTTTTGTTTATAATGTCAAACATTTATAGATAATGCTATGAAGGTTAGGTGAAGGAAATTTCTCAAAGTAATTTAAGTTTTGATATAGTGATAGCATAATTTGGGTAAATATCTTCTCAATGTTACAGACTTCAGTATACTTTTGTTTGTATATGTACAATCTGACATGAATTTGTTTTTAGAAAATCAGTAATGGTGTCTTACAGTATGTCATTTCTTAAAATTGTATGCCATGTGAAATAATAGTTTGTGTTCTGATTAAACAAATTTTGGGTTTGTGTAATCCTGAGTGTATCATCTGAAGACAAACAAGTGCATAATGATAATGAAAACTGATTAGGAGGGTTGCCAAAATGGTGAGGGTTTTCAGAATTGTTTAATATAAGGAATATATTATGAAGAAATTAAGAAGAAAGAAAACTGAAAAAAAAAAAAAAGCAATTTTTACAATAGTTGAATGATTAGAAAGAGGCAGCCATGAGACAATCTGGGGAGAGAATATTCCAAGTAAAAAGAACTTCTAGTGAAAAACCTGTCATAAAGAGGTTTATTTATTGTTGTATATTTAAAAACAGTTTAAAGGCTATTATGACTCCTCATAGTAAAGATAAGTTGGTGAGGAATAGAGGAAAACAGGATTGGAAAGGTATGCAGCCCATTAAAGAAGTTTATGTAAATCATTGTAGACCATCATAAGAAATTTAGTTTTCAGTCTGTTTGCATTGGGAAGCTATTAAAGAATTTTGAGCAGGGAGAGACATGAGTTCATTTACACCTTAATATGATTGCTTTGGCTGTGTACAGAGGATGAGATTTAGACAGGTGAGACCAAAGCAGAAAGACAAGTTAATTTAGTGGAATGGTTGAGATGTGGCAGTGAGTTTGACCTGGCTTTTAAGAGTGAACATAATGGTAAGTGCTTGAATTTGGTGTATAGTGTAAAGGTAAAGTTGACGTTGGAAGTTCATATGTATTGGATAATTGCTAGGATTTTTTTATTCTTTCTTTTTCGAGCAACTTGGTAGATGGTGGTGCCATTTACTTGTGTGATAAAGACTTAGGATCATATTGGGGGATAATAGGAAATCAGTAGTTTTGTTTTGACCATGTTAAGTTGGATATAAATTATTGGAGCTCTGGGAAACAGTTAATACCATAGTGTCAACTCAGTATTTCTGACATTCCCAGGAAGAGTAATGCATCTCTTTTTCTGTGTTCTCATAGCACCTTTTATCTCATAGGTTTTTGTTTTCCATGGCATTGATTGTATTACCCTCATTGTATGCCTATCTTTTCCCACGGTCTAGGATTTTGTTGTATTTCTCTGTATCGTCTCGGCTTCTGGTACAAATAGGTATTTAGTAAATGTTTAATGATTGAATCATGTTTAGTTGCCATCACTACATTCTGTCAATTTTACCTGTTCAAATGTCTATCAGATCCACTTCTTTTATCCTCATTATCTTAATGTTGAACCTCATAATTCCCCATTAGGGTCACTGCCTTTTAAATTGATTTTTTCTTTAAAGCAGTGGAACTCTTTCAAATATCATGCCAATGTTCAACCCCAATTATATGGGGGTGCCAATTAGGAATTGGGCTCAGCAGCAGTATTAAGATATTTGATATAATGACTGAAATATTAAATAAGGGTTTTTTTCCTCACAGTGATTATTTGAGAGGTAGATGGTTTCTGAAATTAAATCAGTGCTTTAACTATCTCAGAGTCAAGGTTTCTGAGATTCTCTTGGCCTTTGCCTCATGGGGAAAGTAGTACCATACTTCATTTCTCACTTACTTAGACTTATAGATGGAATAGAACCCAGATGCTGAATTTAGTCTGAACAGGGGCAGTAGAATACAAATAGGCACAAAGTATGGTGTGATGTTATTCAAGTGTAGGGCAACTTGAGTTTAGTTTGTTTAGATGTAATAAATTAATGACAATTTTAAGATAGGAAGGTGAGTATAAAAAATAAGAATGCACAAAGATATTTCATCATTGTAAAGGAGAATAACTGGACCATATCCAAAGGATCTGATAGGAGCAGAAAGGATGGATAAATCTGGGAGAAATTATGGAGTAAGTAGATGACTAGTGTGAAAATAAGTATAGAGAGGGAGAAGAGGTATTAAGACAGATGATGGACTTTTAGCTGGCCAATGTGTAGAACTGGCAGGATGTTGAAGATAGTGGGAAAATGGGAGAAATGGTATGGAGCTACAGGAGCAGATCATTAATATTTGTTTTATAGCAAATCACAGTCTGAATAGAAAATGGTCAGAATGGCTAAAATGGCCACTTGTGGTTTTTTTAGATAAGGGTAGTGAATAAGAGGGGAGAAATTTTTTAAAGCCTTTCTTGAACTCTAAAACATGGAGTTGAAACCATGGACTTAATATGTGGTGATCTGAGGGAAATAATGAAAGTCCTAAAGAGTTATAGTTTATTGGACTTTTAAATGACATTAATGTGAAATTTAAAAAATCATTTTTTTTTCTTTATTATTGATGTTAGAGAGAGAGGAAGGGAGGAGAGAGAGAGAGAGGAACATCAATGACAGATAACATTGATTGGTCCCCTTGTGCATGCCCCACACAGGAGATTGGGCTCACAACCTGGGCATGTGCCCTGATGGGGAATCGAACCAGCAACCTCTTGGTGCATAGGTTGATGCTCAACCACTGAGCCACAACAGGCTCGCTAATGTGAAAAAAAATTTTTTTTTTATCCTCACTTGACATTTTTGCATTTATCTTCAGATAGAGTGGGAGGGAGTGAGGGAGGGAGAGAGAGAGAGAGAAACATCAATGTAAGAGAGACACATCGAGTGGTCTCCACCCACATGACCCCAACTGGGGCTGGGAACAAACTGCAACCAAGGTATGTGCCCTTAGTGGGAACCGAACCCGGGACTCTTGTCCATGGGTCGACGCTCTAATCACAGAGCCAAACTGGCCAGGGTGAAATTTTTAATGCTTGGGAACACTTTGATTTCATAATTTATCTTTGGTGTCTTTCACTTAATGCTATTCTAGAATTGGTTAATTTTATTGAATATTCAGCAATTAAACGTTAATTTCAAATCAAATGTTACAAATTTATTTTAACACATGCAGTATATTATTTTTGAGTGTTTCATTAAATTAAATAAGCTAATAACCTCTTTTTTTTTCAAGGTACAGCAGGGAAGAACTGGAAATTCAGAGAAGGAAGCAGCACTTCCATCTACAAAAGCTGAGTTTACCTCTCCTCCTCCTTTGTTCAAGACTGGACTCCCACCGAGCAGGTTCGTTAGACCATTATAACTCAATTTATTGAAGGCATTGGTATCTTCACCTTTTATTAGTGTTATATGAAGTATAAAAGCTCTGGGTGTGCTACTAAAAAACTGAAACATTCTACTTTGTTTCAGTACAAAATGAATTCTTAGTGAAAAACTTACTGGGTGCTATTTCACCTATAAAAGTCTAAGTGAGTGAGAAATGAAGTATGGTACTATAGTTACATATGTATATAGAGACAATTTTACATTCAGGAGAGGTGGTGACAATAGTGTTTCTCATGCTTAGTATTCTTATATAAAGAATTATTGGACTTCCTTAAATCGAGATCTCTTGGCCTAAAGGTGTTTTACTAATTTTAGTAAAAGAGATAGAAATTTTAGCCTGGGAGATCTTTCATATTAAAACCATTTTCTTTCTTTCTTTGGTTTGTTGTGATACTATCTAACTTCCAGTTCCTCAAGGTACCAATTGTAAGGTAAATATGCTGGAAGATGTTTTTTTAATTTAAATATGACCAATGCTTAGACTGTTAATAGGAAAATAGTAAAGAGTTAGATAAGACTAGGGAAGTTTGACGTTAGCAGTTTTATCTTGGGTTAAACTTGACTTAAATCAGTTATTTCTCTGAGCTTGAAATAAGTCAATAACCCAGCTATTATTAGTTCTTAGCTAGATGATTTACCTTTTGTGTTACTAGCTTATATTTTATAGTTTTATTAGTCTGCAGTTTTGAATTGCTGTAAGAGATTATATTTCATAATATATGAATGCAGAAGAGACCTTGTGTAGTTTAGTCCTGAAATAGAGATACTTGAAACGTTCAGCTAAAATTAAATGTCACAAAGCCACTGAAATGTTAAGTAATCTTAACAATTACTAGTCATGGGCATTTCCAAATATGATTATTTGAACTAAACACAATTTTATAAAATGTTTGGCTAAGAAATTATGGTAGCTGAGAAAAATTAATCCTTTTAATATGTAGTGTTCTTTTTTTCCCTTTTTCATATTTTAAAAGAGGTCAAATTCTGGTTCTGTTTACTTACTAGCTCAGTGACCTTGGGCAAATGCCCTGATCTTGTTGTTCTTTCACTTCCTGATTTGTAAAACATAATAATAATAGTTCCCTCACAGGGTAGTTATGTATATTAAATGATTAATTTATGTAAAGTGTTTTAGAACAGTGGTATGTAAATACATAATAAGTACTGTATGGATTTTTGCTACTATTATAATTAAGCTAACCTATTTAAAAATCAGTAGCAGTTTTTCTTTACTTTGCCTAAATGCCCCTCGCTTTTTTGTAAAAATAAATTGGGCCATATTGTATGGAGCATTATAGGGGCTTTCACTTTTCTACAAGTGAAATCAATTGGGAGTCACCATCAGATTTTGAGCAGTGGAATGAAATAATCTGCTTTAGGTTTTTAAAGTCTCAGCTGCTATATTAAGATGAGACTACCAGAGGTATTAAGGGCAGAAACTGTGAGGCCAGTTAGGAGGTTGTAACGGTTATCTAGGCAAGAGATAATGATAACTTGGACCACGGTAGTGATGGTGCAGATTTTGATAAGTAGCTAGATACTGAATACATTTGAAAAAGTATAAAAGATTATGTACATCTTTTATATCTGAGATGGAGAAGACTACAGGAGGGATAACTTTTGCAGGGAGAGGATCGAGAGTTCAGTTTAGGACATAATAAAATTGAAATGCCTATTAGACATGCAAGTGGAAAATTTACGTAGGAAGTACATATATGGATCTGTAGTAGAGAGGAAAAGTATGACCTGGAGATGCAAATATGGGAGTGATCAGTGTTTAAATAGTATGAAATGAAACTGAATTAGATTATAGAAGAGGTAAGAGGACAGAGCCTGAGAACACTCTACAGTTCAGAAAAATAAGGATGAGCCAGTAAGAGGAGACCAATAGAGAGGAATGATTAGTGAAGTTGGAAGAAGACCCAGTGTATATCTTGAAAAGGATGCATTTCAAAATAGGAGGAGTGGTAAACCATCAAATGATACTGATTGATTAAGAAGAAGAATACTGATAATGCCTTTTGGATTAAAAAATGCAAAGGTAGTTGGTGATCCTGACCAGAATCATTTTCAGTTGTATAAGGTGAAGATTTTTTTTTTTTTAATCCTCACCCGAGAACATTTTTCCTTTTTTTTTTTTGTTCAGGTAGAGTGGGAGGGAGAGAGAGGAACAGAGAGAGAGAGGGAAACATCGATGTGAAGGGACACATCGAGTGGTTGCCACCCGCACAACCGACCAGGGCCGGGGACAAACTGCAACCGAGGTACATGCCCTTAGCGGGAACCGAACCCTGGTCTCTCAGGACCGCAGGCTGACGCTCTAACCGCTGAACCAAACCGGCCAGGGCAAGGTGAAGATTTTTATAAAAGATTTTTTTGAAAGACTTCGTAGGCTTTTTGGATTCAAGAGCGAATGGAAGGAGAGGAATTAGAATGAGAAAATAGGGATACTTTTTTTGAGGATCTTTTTCTGGTTTTTTTTTTTTTTTGAGGGGTGCAGAGAAATGGCGTAGTATCTGGAGGGAAATGTGGGGTCAGGAGAAAGCCTTTTTCCGGAATGAAAGAAATTACAGTATGTTTGTATACTTAGGAGAATTGAGTTACCAGAGAAGGGACAGTTGTTAGAGCAGTGACCTTAAGAAGGTCAGAGGGGATGGGATGTAGTAAGTGGAGAGTTTATCCTTAAGAAGGAGCATGGACAATTCACCCATGGTAACAGAAGGGAAAGCAGAATATGGTGAAGGTGGGTGGGTAGATAATGGTGATAGGAACTGAAAATTTTCTTCTTCTTGCTTCAATTTTTTTCCTAGCAGCAGAGGATGTAGGCTTATCTATTGAAAATGAGCATAGTGGAAGAGGGGGTGTTGAATGTTTGAGAAGAGTAGAAGGTCTGAAGTAGTCATTTAGAGGTGAATAAGCTAGGGGAAGAAGGTGGGATTTCTAGGCAGTACCTATAGGGAAATGTGGAGTCCAGAGAGTGCTTTTTTCCAAGATGGGAGAAACTACAGCATTTTATATGTTGATAGGAATGGGTTAGTAAAGTGAGAAAATGATGACACAGGGAGAGAGACTACATTTCCATATTTTCTTAAGGTTAATTGCCGTGGGTTTACAATAAGTCAACTTGCTCTGGTGTGTTTCTCTTGCCCTTGTCAGGTATTCATGTGTTTATGAGGAGTAGCTATAGTTGGATTTAACAGGCTGAGGTCATACCAGGTCACATATGACAAGGGAATAGACAGGGACAAGGAAGGTGAGAGTGTATTTGAGGGAGTGATTGTAATGAAGCACCATGGATCTAAGGAGAGATGGGAGGACAGTGGTGGGTAAGTGACAGTAAAAAGGAAGTGAAGACATTATAGAAAAATTAGTAGTTTTACTATTAAAACAAAAGGATAATTACCAACACAATCCTTATACAATCATACCTAGCAAGTCACTTTTGGATATAAACGGTACCATTTTTCATTAAGAAAGTTTGTTTTCTATATTCATCTTCACTTGGTCAAAAGGATAATTTTCAGTGATTGTGAAGTATTTCCCTAAATAAATATTTGTGGTTTTTTTGGTTTTTATTTTTATTGAGATTAGAAAGACATCTTTGAAAGTAAAATTTTATTGACTTTAGGGAGAAGACGGTAATGTCATTTAAGACATATAATACAAGCCATAAATTTTGCCAATTATTTCTTCTCTGGAACTACTTTTCTTGATTTAGGATTCATGATCATTTATTACAATTAGCTTTCATATCTTTTTAAATCTGGGACAGCATCTTAGACATTCTTTGTATTTGTTGACATTGAATTGTAAGGAGTACATTCAGTTGTTTTGTTGATGTTTCCCTGTTACTAGATTCAGGTTTTGTTTTTAGGGTAGGAATACTATGTAAGTGATGTTCTCTGTCCTTCTCAGTGCATCATCCTGGAGGTACATGATTTGTCCCATTATTAGTGATGATAACTTCAATCACTTATTTGTGGTTGTGTCCTTTGGATTTCTGCACTGCAAAGTTATGGTTCCCCTATGTATTTAATAGGGAATCTGAGGAGACTACATGAATATCCTGTTTCTCTCCATGAATTTTAGTATGCATTAATGGTTTTTGCTTTAGTAAACTGTTAATGTAATGGCTGCAAAATAGTGATAATCTAACTCTGTTATTTCTTTTATACTTATTAGTTGGTATTCTACTTTAAAAATGAGCTTTCTCATCTCCTGCACTTATTTATTTATTAGCCAAACTCATTAACTTTAATTTTATATGTGAGAGAGTGTGTGTGTGCGGTTTATAAATATGGCTTTTTTGTATATGTGGTATATAAGATATATATATGTGATTTACATATACTGCAATTGATATTCATGCTTAAATTTGGTCCATGAGAGCCTCTTCAAACTGGCTCCTGGAACCTTTCGATGTGTCCTCATCTTTTTTTTTTTCCTTTACTTCTTGGCATGACCAAATGTTCCAGGCTTATCTTGTACTTCCCCTGGAAGCAGCCATTTCTTGAAGTCACCCTGATGCCTTTTAGTGGGAAATGGTTATTAGAAACCAAGATCTTGGCACTGATTATGCTCATTGCTACTGGGATGTCACTATTTCCAGATCTTTTCAGCACCCAGAGCTAGAAAATAAAAAAGCAATTTCAATATGAAATTGCCATGTGTATGTTCTATTTATAAATTGTAATCATACAATCATCATGTTTCTTTTTCAAAATTGACACCACGTGATTCTATTGAAAACCTCGTTTCCAACAACTTCAATATTTCTCATTTGCTTTATTTTATAATACACAGAAAATACATTAGAATGGCTACACTTATCATTTCAAAAAACCCATGACTAAAAGGTATCTTTGCAATTCTTTTCTTTTTTTAGACAGAGTATATAGTCAAAATATTGTGTTCGAAAGTTTCCTTCAGTGTGATTATATTAATCATTTAAAATATAATTTGAACTATTGCTTCTGCTTGTATTAAGTATAAGCATTTCTTTTCTTCCATGCTTATTGACATAATTATTTTTTATATACATAAATCATTTAACATAGTTCCAAAGGCAAGGCTATTAAAAAGCATACTCAGATTTGTCCCTCTTTCTCCTATTTTCATTCCTGTCAATTATCAGTTTCATTTTATTTCGTTTCTGGTTTATACTTTGTGTTTTGTTTTGTTTTAACATAAATAAACAGATACATAATTATATATACTTTTAGAATCTTACTTTGAAAGAGTTAAATTACTTTGAAATGTATTTTGATAAAATGCTTATTTGGTGCAAGTTTTTATGAAACATATCAGAGTGTTACTGTTAACTATTTACCCTAATAATACTTATATGTATTATTAAAGAATGTAGGGAAAGAAATGCCAAATTATGAATAAGATTTTGTGAAACTGCAGAAATTAATGTTATTAATTCATAAAAGCTAAGAAATTTGTTTCTTAACACATATAACCTGAAGAAAGCCTTTGGTTCTTTATTTTTGCATTTTTTCATGATACCATCTGCGTTGAAAAATATTCCTAAAAATATTCTAGAGTTAATAAAATGTTGATAACACATCTATATTTAAATATCAGTAGTTGTCTTAGTGTCACAGCAAATATTTTATGTGACTTGAAGAGAATGATACTATAGGAACATGATTAAGGATTTTAGAAAAAACATGTTAAGGGGGGGGAGAAACAGAACAAGGAGGGGTCAGAGGCAACAATAAGAAAAAACATAGAAAATTTATCTCGCCAGAAACAGCACCTCTTCTCAGTCTCAGACAAGTTCTGCCTCCAGAAAAGCCAATTCAAGCGTCGGGAAGTGGCAAGATAGATATGGGAGGGCCGAATCACCTGATTTAAGGTAAGACTATTTTTAAACATTAGATATTTGCTGGTGTTTAGCTTATCAGTGTTGTTTTATGATAAGATAGTAAATTTTGATTAAACTGTGCCATATTTTTGCCCCTCTAAAATACGATTTTTCAGTATAGTATTGAGGGTTTAAATTACTTTATAAATCAGGCCTTATATCACCTCATGTCATGCTTCTCATCTCTCCAGGCTTTTATAATATAAATTGCATGGAACCATGCTAATGGGTGCTCAATAAATGTTTTTTTCCCCCTTGATGCAGGTTTAATTCTTCTTTCTCATAATGCACCCTATTTAAAAATCTCTGGATGCTTTTCACTATTTGATGAAGAACATTTACCTTTTGAGTTAGTATCTAGGACCCATAAACTTGTACTCCATTGACTTTTCAATCTTTATATCCCATCTCCAGTGCATGAGCCTGCCATTTTAGTAAATGGGTCTACCAGCTGTCCTAGGAAGTGCTATTCATTGTTGCTATGCTTTTACTTATGGTCCACCCTTCAAAAAATTTTGGTCTGTGTTCTAAATCTTACGCTTATAAAGTATACAGTATTGGGTGGGTATGTAAACTTTCTGAACCTATAAAATGGGAATAATCATTTCTATCTTAAGGGATGTAGTGAGAAGCAAATATGTTAAAGTATGAAACTACAAGGCCAATAGTAATCCGAGCAATTATACTTTACTTGACTTAGAAATATAGACTAAGATACTTTCCTCATATACCATTTGAAGTTTTAAACAATGATGGTATATTGGGGTATGGGGGGAAGTATTCTGTTTTTGTTGTTATAGAATTTTAAGCTTTCTTCCTGGACAGCTTGATGTTATATGCTTTTAATTATTTTCATTTACATACTTTTAAATATGTAAATTGTGATCAGGTATCTTTGATCAAAACATCTAAAAGAAAAGCATAGGGAGAAAACATTACAATTCTATTTTCTTTTTTGGGGGGGGCGTTATTATATATTCCTCACAAGTAGTAGGAATTTCTAGTCAACTTGCTTTGATAGGATTTCTTGTTAGGAGAGCATAAGCTTAGACATTCTCAAAAGTTAGTATTTGACTCAAAGTCAAAAATATTTTCACTTTTGAAAGGCTATCCAAACTATAAGTATTGTAATTCATATGGATAGAAATATACAGGGTGGGTCAAAGTGGTGATTAAATGAAACAATTTATTCTTATATTATTATTTATTAACTATTATATTATGTTTTGTATAAACAACTGTAAACTTACTTTGTCCCATCCTGTATTGGATATATATATATCCAATGTCGATGTTTCTCTCTCTCTCTCCCTGCCACTCTATCCGAACAAAAAATATTAAAAAATGTCCTTGGGTGAGGATAGAATGAAAATTTGTATATCTTACTATTATTTTAAAAGTACCAATTGACATTTTTTTTATGTTACACAATATTGATTAATATTTTTAGTTTTTATATTTTTATTTTATAGTTATTTAAAATATGGTTTTATTGATTTTTTTTTTTTTTTTTTTTTCAGAGAGAGAGAAACATTGATGAGACAATTGGCTGCCTCCTGCACACCCCCTACTGGGGATCGAGCCCACAACCCGGGCATGTGCCTTGACTGGGAATCGAACCAGGACCTCTCAGTCCATGGGGTGACGCCTAGTCCACTGAGTCACATTGGCCAGGCAATTATTATTTTTTATTGATTGATTTTAGAGGAAAGAGAGAAACATTGCTTTGTTCCATTTATGCATTCATTGGTTGTTTCTTCTGTGTGCCCCGACTGGGGATCAAACCTGCAATCTTGCTGTATCAGAATGATTCACTAGCCCTGGCCGGTTTGGCTCAGCAGTTGGAGCATTGGCCTGTGGTCTGGAGAGACCCAGGTTCGGTTTCCGCTAAGGGCATGTGCCTCAGTTGCAGTTTGTCCCCGGCCCTGGTTGGGTCGTGTGGGTGGCAACCACTCGATGTTTCCCTTTCATGTCGATGTTTCTCTCTCTCTCTCCCCCTAGCACTCTATCTGAACAAAAAATAATGAAAAATGTCCTCGGGTGAGGATAAGAAAAAAAAAAAAAAGAATAATTCTCTAACCAACTGAGCTAGCCAGCCAGGGCCTTGATCTTTTTTTTTATCCTCACCCGAGGACATTTTTCCATTTTTTGTACATATAGAGTGGGAGGGAGAGAGAGAAACATCGATGCGAAAGGGACACATCGAGTGGTTGCCACCTGCACGACCAACCAGGGCCGGGGACAAACTGCAACCGAGGTACATGCCCTTAGCGGGAACCGAACCGGGGTCTCTCTGGACCGCAGGCGGACGCTCTAACCGCTGAGCCAAACCGGCCAGGGCTTGATCTTTTAAACTAAAATTCTCCCTGAAGAACCAATAGAAATTTCAAGAGTTATTTTAAACAAAGAAAAGTTAGTTCTGACCAGTGTGGAGTAGAGCCTATGAATCTTTTCACCTTTAATATTTCTGTGGAACCGAAAAGTTTAATAGCAGTGCTGATAGTATTTCTATTTATAATAATTAACTTCATTATTATAGTACATAGTGCATAAAGAAACACTGGATTTATACTTAATATGTCCACTGATGTAGACATCCTATTTACTGATCCCAAAAGGGCCAGACAGTAAGAGCTTTCATTTTCATCATGCCTCTATTGGTAATGAATCGGTAGCTATTTTTGTACATAAAGAGTAACTATGTTCTTAAACTTATAGCAGTTTCATGACATAAGTACTGGATCTGGGTATTAGGTTTGGTTTTGTGCATGTGTGAATTTAGGACAGTTCCCTAAAATCTCTATGTCTCTGTTTCTACATTTGTAAAGTGATAGGGCTAGGCTGTATTACCTGGAAGGTCCTTTTAATCTGAAATTGTTTATTTTCTGTCTGATCCCTGGTTTTCATGGAAAATGAGATCTGAGAATTTAGGGAATTTCTTAATTAGCCAAATTCATTGCTAATTAAGAGGCAAAGCCAGGACTAGAGCCGTACATTTTTGGCCTTTAATACCTGCAGTTCAGGCTAGTTGAGTTTCTTAAGCAAAGGCATAGAAATACTTTAAAAATCTACTATTTTAATGTAATTTTAAACTTCATATTTGTTTCTTTTGCTAACATTTTAACATCTGGAATTCCTTTTATATATATCATTTGACTTAGAATTTTTTTACTTAAAATAGTTGCCTTTGATATAATAGTTTATTTCTTGAAATAGTTTACAGAAAATATATTATCATATCTGAAAGTGATACATTTCAGTGCATACACTATATATGCCTCCCCGCCCCCACCCTTCCACCCCCAGACCAAAAAAAAAGATACTTTGAAACAAAATTCCTCATTCTGATTTTATGATTAGTCTCTCAGGGAATGTAGGTAGTAAGAAGTTTGACACTGTATTTTCTGCATATGTTTTATGTTTTTGAACATTAAAAACAAAAACCTCTAGATAAAAGCTACTTTTCTCTTTTTATTTTTATTTATTTATTTTGGTATGTGCCCCTAGTGGAAACCGAACCCAGGACTCTAGTCCGCAAACCAACACTCCAACCACTGAGCCAAACCGGCCAGGGCTCTCTTTTTAAATGGTACACACATGCACTTTCTTTTTTTTTTTTTTTCCCATTTATTTTTAGAGAGAGTGGAAGGGAGGGAGGGAGGAAGGGAGGGAGGAAGGGAGAGAGAGAGAGAGAGAGAGAGAGAGAGAGAGAGAGAGAGAGAAAGAAACATAGATGGTGAGACACATTGATTATTTGCTTCCCCTACTGATCCCCTAGCAGGGCCAGGTAGCAAACTGGCAACCCAGGTACGTGGCCTTGACCAGGAATCAAACCCTCAACCCTTCACTACGCTGGCAGTTGCTCTAACCATTCGACCACACTGAGCAGGGTCACAAATTATCTTATAAGATAGAAACCTTGTAAGTTCTTATAATTAATGTAAGAAATGTGGATTTTTTTTTTTTTGAAGTATCATTTAAGTTTCTTTGTAAAGAGCAACTAAACAATGGTTGAGATCCTTTTCATAAGTTACTATAAAGTAAAACCTCTATATAATGGACTAATTCGGGTGAGGGGTTGTCTATTAAAGCTGAAAGTCCATTATATAATAAAGTAGGTTTTCAGAATGTGTATGTTAAAAAATTGACAAATTAGTTTTCCTGTTTTTAATTATGTAGACACGTTCATGTAATTAAAATTAAGTATGTATGAGAAGTTTAATTGCACAGAAAAGTTTTCTATATGTATTATTGTAATTTCAAATTTATACTGAGTAGGTCTAGTAAATGCATGCATTCACTGAGAGTAAACAAATGGCACAGGGCTGGAGTGTGGCTTAGTGCAGGTTGGAACATCAGCTGGCAGGTGTTGGAACTGCTACAGAAAGTCACACCATGGGAACAACAGAACCAATTACTCCACTCGATGTGGTGTCATCACGTGCTAATCTTATTCGCTGAACATTGTTTTCGAGTGGTGACTCTTGGATATAAATATGTAGACTATAGTTGTAGATATGTAATATTTATTTATGTCAGCAAAATTACTATAGTGTTTTTTTCCAACATATAGCCTATTTTAAAATGTGTTTAAAATAAGGGTGAATTAATAACAAAAAAATCTAATTTAATTATAAGCAAATCTTGGTTCAAAGCATTTAAAAATTAACAGGGTATTGCCCTGGCTGGTCTGGCTCAGCGGTTAGTGTTAGTCTATGGACCAGCGTATTGGATTTGATTCCGGTCAAAGGCACATACCTTGGTTGCGGGTTTGATCACCGGGTCGTGCAGGAGGCAACCAATTGATGTGTCTCTTTCACATTGATGTTTCTCCCTTCCTCCTTCCCTATCTAAAAAAAAAAAAAAAAAAAAATCAATTCAAAAATATCCTTGGGTGAGGATTAAACAAAAAAATTAACAGGGTGTTAATTTTCACATATGATGTACAGACCAAAGAGTTTGTCCATTAAATTCGAGATCTGTTAAATAGA